TGTGTGTAAGAGCTTGCTGTTGGGATTAGTGAAGGTTTAGACATCGATAACAACTCTGCTAAATAAAACTCAAGTATAATGATCTGAGCAATACAGCCTATGGTGCTTGACTTCCATTCCTCCCCCCCCCTCCCCCCCCACACACTTTTACTATTATTTAAGGGGGTGTGGTAGCTGAGTGGACAGCGCGCGGGACTTGTAATCCTGTGGCCCGGGTTCGATTCCCGGACTAGATAGAGGGAGGGAATTTTCAGGGGAAAGCGCCAAGCCATGACGACTATATAGCACTTGGAAAGGGTCAGGATAAGGATTTGGGATGGGATGGGGGGAAGGAATGGTACCCAACCGGACTACGTAGAGGCAAATGGGCAGAGTTTCTTTCACCCTGATATACATGTTCACTTATCAGTAAATAGGTACCTGGGAGTTAGACAGCTGCTATTGGCTGCTTCATGTGGACGTGTGTTAGAAAAAATATTGTAGTAGATATAATGGAGGAAAAATAGATCGATAAGAATGGTGGAGTCCACGAGCAAATAGTTCGATTCTGCAGACACAAATAGTAAATACACACTTCTGACTGTCCCCAGGATGCAACCCACAACAGTTACCTAACTCCCGGGTACCTATTTACTCGTAGGTCAAAGGCATCACTGGCAAGAGCCCTTCTAGAGTCCTACACTAACGACTGGCCTTCCCCCCGGATGTAATCTACACGTTATCCTAATTCAGGGCCGTCATAACAGCATTGTAGGCCAGGGCAAAGCAATGCACTGGGACCCCGAACTCAGATAATGGGCACAGTGGCCCCTCCTACCCAGATGATGGGGACTTGGCCCCCCTACCAAGATGAAGGGGACTTGGCCCCCTGCTCAGAGTATGGTCCCCGCCCGTCTGTTAAAGCACAGGATTACTCTCAAAAAGTTATGCACAAATTATAAATGTAATTATTATATAAATATTATGCATAAATAAATAAAATGTTAAGCACATATAAATGTAATTTGAAAAGATAATTAAACTCCAGGCTTTCGTAGGGAGATCACTCATGAACAACACAACAGCATGGTGGAACCTCGAGAACTGTGGGGCAAGTGCCCAGTATACCCAAGTATTAAGACGGTAGTAACCTAACTCCCGCCTGCTAAGTACACCTACTGGACAAAGCTCCCGCAAGCACCAAATAGCTTCACTGGAGGTTACCACCAAATATACTGCGCACCTGAAGAACCAATAACCCACTTTCACTAAACCCTGAATAAACATTTGGACGTGGTATAAACATTTGTTTTAGAAGAGCGTTTTTTATATTATTAAATTTGTGTACAGTTTAAATTCTATTAGTTTCTTTTTACCTTATATTATTGCTTCCAAAGAATTTAATATTCCATAAATTTTATAGCCATTTTAGTTTAAATGTGAACAAATTTCAGCATTTATTGACAACATTTTTTTCATTAATTTTATAAACTTAAAGGGCAGATATATTAAGAATAATAGTAATGATAATAATATTTAAAAACAACAAATAAATAAATATATTCACTGCGATACGTCTACCACGTCTCCAATCAATATATACAGCTATAGTTTAATTTAATCCGAGACAATGATCATGACCAAAGTATACTTGCTGGTTGGTCAGTAAGCTGTTGTGGTGGCCTTAATAACCCTCCAGAGGTTGTTAATGCCTCAAGCCCAACACAAAACCAATGTTCAATACATGGGGAACACTTCACATTACCTTAAACAGCGTATAAGTTGAACACTTATGAGAATCGCTCCTTAGGCAAGTTGCGCCTTTTACAGTCTGAGATCACTGTTAAGCCACGAGTCACTCACTTACAGAGATTTCACTATACTAACTTGCAGTGGCTTCAAACTAAATCATAACTACAACCCGTCCTCGACTTAAGTCCATTACATCCAGCGGTCGACCCCACAGACGCATTCATAAATTTTAACATGCTGTTCATTCAAAACTGGAATTTTCTCAAGTATAAATTAATATTATAATATATTTGCATATTGTGTATATATAGGCATAGGATAGGTTAGGTTAGGTGTTTAGGTTCTGTTGGCGATTATTTGTATTTGTAGTACGTGGGTGAAGCATTTATAGCGTTGTGATTCGAACAAAATTCGTCAGTGAGGCACTTGTTCCGGATATGTTCGAACGTCAGCAGTTGTGAGTCGTGTGTAAACCGCTTTTCATTCATAAACAGGGGGTTTGGCGGGTGCATGGAATCACTTTTGGATCTTTGTTTGGAGGACGGGCTGATCATAACATAGGAATTCCTTCACATTGCAAAAATGGCACCCCGAGTTGAACAACAAAGATTGAGTCTTTGACCCACTCCATATGTTAATCTCGTCTTCTGCAAGTTTCTGCTTTCATATATTTTTTTTATTGTGTGAATTCTTATCTTAAATAATGTTTTGTGTACGTCATTTAATTTATATTGAATTTGGTAAATCTTTGATTTTTTATTTACATTTTTAGCAAATGGTTTGCTAAAACGCTTCTGTATATATGGACAAATTTATAAAAATAATTTATGTCATTTTTCTTGTACTACACTTTCTCATATATATATATATATATATATATATATATATATATATATATATATATATATATATATATATATATATATATATATATATATATATTTAATTGAATATGACCGCATATTCTGTATTTATTATTTTCTGGTTTAAAGCTTCTATCCCTCTAACTATTTTCTTAGCATCAGGGCTTAGTTGAAATAGGAGTTCTCCAAAACTCATTTTCGTACTTTTAAGGTGAAGAAAAGAAGTGAATTACTATAGAATGTATTACACTTATTTATACACTTATAACTGCAATTTATACGACATATATATATATATATATATATATATATATATATATATATATATATATATATATATATATATATATATATATATATATATATATATATATATATATATATATATATATATATATATATATATATATATATATATATATATATATGTCGTACCTAGTAGCCAGAACGCACTTCTCAGCCTACTATGCAAGGCCCGATTTGCCTAATAAGCCAAGTTTTCATGAATTAATTGTTTTTCGACTACCTAACCTACCTAACCTAACCTAACCTAACTTTTTCGGCTACCTAACCAAACCTAACCTATAAAGATAGGTTAGGTTAGGTTAGGTAGGGTTGGTTAGGTTCGGTCATATATCTACGTTAATTTTAACTCCAATAAAAAAAAATTAACCTCATACGTAATGAAATGGGTAGCTTTATCATTTCATAAGAAAAAAATAGAACAAAAATATTAATTCAGGAAAACTTGGCTTATTAGGCAAATCGGGCCTTGCATAGTAGGCCAAAAAGTGAGTTCTGGCTACTAGGTACGACATATATATATATATATATATATGTCGTACCTAGTAGCCAGAACACACTTCTCAGCCTACTATGCAAGGCCCAATTTGCCTAATAAGCCAAGTTTCCCTGAATTAATTGTTTTTTGACTACCTAACCTACCTAACCTAACCTAACATTTTTTGCTACCTAACCTAACCTAACCTATAAAGATAGGTTAGGTTAGGTTAGGTAGGGTTGGTTAGGTTCGGTCATATATCTACGTTAATTTTAACTCCAATAAAAAAAAATTAACCTCATACGTAATGAAATGGGTAGCTTTATCATTTCATAAGAAAAAAATTAGAGAAAATATATTAATTCAGGAAAATTTGGTTTATTAAGCAAATCGGGCCTTGCATAGTAGGCTGAGAAGTGCGTTCTTGCTACTAGGTACGACATATATATATATATATATATATGTCGTACCTAATAGCCAGAACGCACTTCTCAGCCTACTATTCAAGGCCCGATTTGCCTAATAAGCCAAGTTTTCATGAATTAATGTTTTTTCGTCTACCTAACCTACCTAACCTAACCTAACCTAGCTTTTTTTGGCTACCTAACCTAACCTTACCTATAAATATAGGTTAGGTTAGGTTAGGTAGGGTTGGTTAGGTTCGGTCATATATCTACGTTAATTTTAACTCCAATAACAAAAAATTGACCTCATACATAGAGAAAAGGGTTGCTTTATCATTTCATAAGAAAAAAATTATAGTAAATATATTAATTCCGGAAAACTTGGCTTATTAGGCAAATCGGGCCTTGAATAGTAGGCTGAGAATTGAGTTCTGGCTACTAGGTACGACATATATATATATATATATATATATATATATATATATATATATATATATATATATATATATATGGTGAAAGGTGGAAAATATTGCTAGATCGTTTTCAGGGCCCTTGTAATCATCTTCAGTAAAACTCAGTAAGGGACAAAAGGCTCCTTTATGCCACCTACTGACCTTACTCAGAACGCAATCCACAACAGCTGCTAAACTCCCAGGTGCTAATTTACAACTAGGTGCACAGAGGCATGAGGGGAAAAAATATTACACAAACGGTTCTGTCATGGCAATCAAATCCGGGAGCTTTTGTCTTATTATAATATAATTAATTGTTACAACATATAATCCTAAAATATTAATGCAGCAACTATCTGGTCAAACGTACGAAAATGGACGGTTGGAGCCAGCAATGTTCACGGTTAGTTAGGTTTGAACTATTAATTTCGTAGAGGGCACGAGAAAACTAAGCTTAAAACCATACCTAGACATTCCTAGGCCTAGTATAGCATTTATGTATTATATTATGTTGGCATTGCACATATGTACTAATATGGTTTTTTTTTTTGCAAGGATATTCTTGCGCGGGCCCTAAGCCTCTGGCTGGCCCACTAAGTGTTGCTTGTTTCTGTTTTACTTGGGCGGAGTATGAATATTTATGACTCGTATGGTCGCTTCAGTAAGATTTTGCCATATGTGTTTAACAACTTCCGATCTATTGAATCTAAGTTGAAATCTTAATGGGTTTGTAACTGTACACTGTGTTAGATAATGTTCCAGTGGTCTGTCGGGCATTTCTCCACAGTGCTGAAGTAATATATGTACTATTTACGCCTAAGTTTGCTTGGATAGGTTAGGTTAGAGTAACTTCTTCAAACACTTTTCAATTTTAGTATGTCATTTGGGATAATTCAATAATTCTAAGCGAGAATTTGTTGTGGTCCAACCGTCAATTTTTGTGTGTTTGACTAAATAGTTGCTGTATGTATTATCATTTTAGGAGGATAGGCTGACCCATCACTGTGGGTTTGCTATTCGTATCGCACATTATTAAGTACAATTAAACTTTCAAATCCTATTGAAATATTAGGTGAACAATACAAGTACACCACATCAATAATAATAATAATTATAATAGTAATTAATATTAAATAATCTGTGTTTAAAAGTTGCCGGAGAAAAATAATATTATATTACAGCTTACAAAACCTTTATTAATATAATTTATCAGCTTGAAATAATCGAGACTATGACAGTATTGTTTTGTACATAGAGAACAAGATCCTTAAAATTATAAATAAAAATTTAAATGTGCATCTATGCTCGAAGTTTTGGTTGCGTAGTCACATACCGGGGAAATGATAGGCTGAAGCACGCATAGTAATGGACAGAACCTGTTAGGCCTGTTGTACAGGTGAAATGGCGCTGAAAATGGTCTTGGAATAAGGTTAAATCCGGTTTGGACGGTTTAAAACTGTGAAGTGACTATAGGGAAGATGCTGGAGATAAGGTAGGAGCTTTTGGGTCTATTGTAGAGCAGTGAATGACTAGACATTGTGATACACTTAGAGCCGGTTAGGTCTGTTGTAGAGCTGTGAGGGTGTCGGGGGAGGTGATGGGGAAGCTTGACGCTGCTCTGGGACGCTGTACAGCTGGTTGGGCGTCCCAGCGTCACTGCGGATGGAAGCATCTGCGTCCTCGGGGATCTTGCCGATCTCGGAGTTGAGAGCGAAGAACTGCTCGGAGGCGGCGCAGTCGACGTTGAACCACCAGTCACACACGAAGTACTGCTGGTTGAAGACGGTGCCGTTGGGACACAGGAAGGAGTCGAGGCGGCCGTCGAACTGGCAGATGTGGAAGACCTGGCAGCGGGCCTCGTCAGCGGTGTCGGCGAAGTAACCCGGGAACTCCTGAGACTGGCAGGAGAAACCGGTTTGTGGCACAGAGGCCAGGATCGGGTAGTGTTGGCCAGGGACGCCGCCCCCGGGAATATTGGCGGCCAGGACGGCTACGGGGTCTTCTAGACCCTCCAGGGAAGGGGCCACATCCCTCAGGTCCGGGGCGCCGTAGGACCTGGCAGGAGGTTGTTGGTTATACCCCACCTGAGCGCTGGCGCCTCCCAGCAGGGCTTTATTGACACAATAAATAGCGGGAATTAATATAAGTTTACATTTATTTTATTTATTTATTATAATTTATTAAAGAGCTTAAATGGACTAATATGCAAATAAATGAGTTATTTTATATAATAATAATTTTCATTTGAGCAAAAGTACATACATACGTAGGATACACGAAGAATGCAGAATGTATAGGGAAGGGAAGGCGAACTGTCAGAAAAAGTGCCAAGCCATTACGACTAATTAGCACTGGGAAGGGATCAGGATAAGGATGTGTAATGGGACAGGCGCAAAGGAATAGTGCCCAACCACTTGGACGGTCGGGGGATTGAACGCCGACCTGCATGAAGCGAGACCGTGGCTCTACCATCCAGCCCAAGTAGTTGAGCGCAGGTAAGGCAACCACTATGCCTATAGCCACTAATATGCACTGCGTTTTCTCCAAGATGTGGATAATAAATGGAAACTAAAGATTTTTTTGAAAAGAAAAAATGAATTAAAGTAAAAAATATAAAAAATTACAATTATTACATAGTGATTGGAAGAGCAGAAATTGCAACAGAACAACATGTAGTAATTTTCCCAGAATTAAAAGAAGGAATACAATTTTTGTATTACTTTTTAACACAGCAGATATCAGCAGCATTACAGGTTCAGTAATTAATTTTCAATAATAGCAATGCATTGGTTGACATTTAAGAATTAAGGTAGACTACATAGAGTTGATTAGGTAGTTCTTGATTTTTCATTTAAACTGGTTGAGAGAAGGACAGTCTTTGATTTGATCTAGGAAGTCATTCCACATTTTGGGACCCTTGATTTGTAGAGCATTTCTACTTTGGCTAAGTCGCACTCCTGGAATACCAAATACATCTCTTGTATCAATACTAGACTAGACTTTCACATAGCCAAGATTACCCAATGGGTGAGAGGGAAGGTGGAGAGAGGAAAAGAATACGAGAGAGAGAGAGAGAGAGAGAGAGAGAGAGAGAGAGAGAGAGAGAGAGAGAGAGACACACACACACACACATGCAAAGTGTGTGTGTGTGTGTTTACTAGTTGTGTTTTGCGGGGGTTGAGCTTTGCTCTTTCGGCCCGCCTCTCAACTGTCAATCAACTGTTTACTAACTACTTTTTTTTTTTTTTTTTTTTTTTCCCACACCACACACACACACACCAGGAAGCAGCCCGTGACAGCTGACTAACTTCCAGGTACCTATTTACTGCTAGGTAACAGGGGCACTTAGGGTGAAAGAAACTTTGCCCATTTGTTTCTGCCTCGTGCGGGAATCGAACCCGCGCCACAGAATTACGAGTCCTGCGCGCTATCCACCAGGCTACGAGGCCCCCGTAGCGTGTGTGTGTGTGTGTGTGTGTGTGTGTGTGTGTGTGTGTGTGTGTGTGTGTGTGTGTGTGTGTGTGTGTGTGTGTGTGTGTGTGTGTTCGAAATGCAAAGTATTGATAAGGGTTGTTTTAACAACACCAAGCCTTTTATTATACTGTACCTGAGAGCTGTTTACATGTACATTGAAAATAATTAAATTAAAAAGGGGTATAATAAGGTCTCTATGTCCAGAAAGGACATAATATGCTGGTTTTAGGCAATAGAATTTTGAGGCGAAGAACAGTGTTTAAGTGTACATAAGTTCCGGTGGAGGGTTGTGTATTGTGAAGTGTATTCACTTAGTTGAGTTTACGGGGGTTAAGCTTTAGCTCTCTGGTCTCGGCTCTCAACTGTCAATCAACTGGTGTACTGATTCCTTATCAAGGTATTGTGTAATTCCAAGTCGTGTGTGTGTATTGTTCAGGAAATAGAGGTGGTGTTCTTAGCGTGTTAATATTTAGTAGAGTTATTTATCTGTTATCGTACTAGTTCTCTCGTATATAACTTCTTATTGAGACTTACTGAGGACGAGCATCAGCGCAGACTTGACCATTGTGAAGAACAAGAAGGTGGAGGAGATGAACCACTGGAGAAGCTGCTCTTGGCACTGTGCTGAGGGAAGATGTTGGCATCATTTTATAGTGCCAGACTGGACCTTTCCCTGGCGGAGTCAAGGTTGATCCAGATGCCCAGGGATGAACCAGGCTCCGGCCCACAATGCAACGCTCCCTTCCTTGAGGTTTCAGTTCACTTCTTTCGTCTCTCGCTCCTCTCTCTCTCTATTATGCCTCACTTACACTTCCTTCTCCAGGCTCGTCTCTACTGATTTCTCTTCTTCGTTACCACGGAAATTATTATTTTGGGACATTTGATGATAAAATTTGTATTTCTATATTAGAAAAATATTGGTTCTACTACATGGCAAGACCCATGGTTTTATTGTTCATTTCATTTATCATAATTCCTGTTCTAATATCCTCAAGAGATGTTGATTTACACTAAACGTTTGAACATATCCGAGGGACATAAACATTTACTGCTATGAACATTATGATGGGCTAGGCTGAGGTACTAGGCGTTCCCAAGGTGAGGAACAGGAGGCGCGTCATGAACACACGATCTCCACCGCTGTAATGAGTTCATTTCTTTGGTAGAACGTCTTGAATATGAGCCTAGTGGATTGCATTTTTATGTGCATGTCCTCACAAAAGCGTACTTCTCTAAAATACAAATTAATTGATTTTATTGTGTAAATCTTCACTATTCATACATGCTTACCAATAGTATACATTATTGAAATATATCTGCTACACACACACACTCCCTATGCTTTTATCATCCTCACTAATATGACTAGTATTCCAAATCCCTGGGGTGTCACCAGAACCCGAATTTCTTGAATATGAGTTTCCTACTCAATCCTTACGGGTTTCCCCTGAACCTGGAATCAGATTTGTTTTAAAATTTCAACAGAAAACAGAACAGTGACTGTCGTCGGTGGATAATGCCAGTAAAGCTTTGAACATATCAACTGTATTGAATCGAAAGTAATCATCATTAAAGGTGGGAAGCAGATACTAAAATCTTGTACAGCTTATGACTTAATTCTACCATGCCTGATTATTTAACAACAAACGCAAACTTATTTATGCCCGAACATATTTTTGGCCGAAACGCTAAGGTATTAGCTTTAGGTATTGTATGTACAAGCTTTATCTGTAAATCCAACTTTATGTTTGTAACTCTTCTTCTATGTATGAACTTTTACATGAATAAAAATTTGAATTTTTTGAATTTATGTTCTAATATTATAGACTACCCTCTCTACTCTTATACAAATGTATATTGATGAATAACTCGGTCTAAAAAGTCATTCATTCATCCATTTATTTATTATGCACACCATACCTATCCCGTTGGCGGCGGTGGAAAGGATTACAGAGGCACATAATGGGTTTAGGAACTGAACCTCCATAGTTCGTTTAGTTAAGCAAGTGGCAATCTTTTGAAGCTAGTCAACTAGTATGACAACGGCCAACGAGGATCTTCGTTAAAGCAAGGATTATGGCGTTATTTATTATCTAACTCTCTATTAGGAATTTGTTAATTTATATATTTCTTCTGTAGTGGTACTTCACAACCAGATGTTAATATATATTAATATAATATGAATTAAACGTTGTTGTCCAATCCACACACTAGAAAATGAAGGGACGACGACGTTTCGGTCCGTCCTGGACCATTCTCAAGTCGATTGTGGACCATTCTCACAATCGACTTGTGAATGGTCCAGGACGGACCGAAACGTCGTCGTCCCTTCATTTCCTTGTGTGTGGTCTGGTCAACATACTTTAGCGACGTTATTGTGACTCATCGCCTGCATATGAATTAAACGTTCTTCCTCAAGTCGCTCCGTTTTGTCAACAATGGCACGATAGGAAGTGGAACTCACGTCCAACCGCTTAAGGACGCCAACATGTCCACGGCCGTCCAGCCGGAAGAGGGCGCCCACACGCCCATGGAACCGCCATAACCCTTCCATGGCCGACCGTTCGACCACCCCAGCCATCATCTGCTGCCCTAATACGCCCACGGTCGACCACCCCAGCCATCATCTGCTGCCCTAATACGCCCACGGTCGACCACCCCAGCCATCATCTGCGGCCCTAATACGCCCACGGTCGACCTCCCCAGCCATCATCTGCGGCCCTAATACGCCCACGGTCGACCACCCCAGCCATCATCTGCGGCCCTAATACGCCCACGGTCGACCTCCCCAGCCATCATCTGCGGCCCTAATACGCCCACGGTCGACCTCCCCAGCCATCATCTGCGGCCCTAATACGCCCACGGTCGACCACCCCAGCCATCATCTGCGGCCCTAATACGCCCACGGTCGACTACCCCAGCCATCATCTGCGGCCCTAATACGCCCACGGTCGACCACCCCAGCCATCATCTGCGGCCCTAATACGCCCACGGTCGACCACCCCAGCCATCATCTGCGGCCCTAATACGCCCACGGTCCACCAGCCGCCCATGGCTGCTCCACATCAGAACGTGGTTTAAGATAATGAAATGTTTCCGTAGAACTCCAAGACGTCAATTCAGCTTGATAAATTTATTGGTAATTAATTATTTGTTGTACTTTTTATATTTTCGTTTTATAACAGTCAATGTTGTTATTTTAGTTAATGCTGTCATCACCACTATCAAATTATCATTAACATTAACACCACCATCATTAACACCATCACCATCATTAACACCATCACCATCATTACAATCATCACCATTACTAATATCATCAGTAACAGGTATTGTTCGTAGTCTAAGCGGAAACAGACCTATCTACATTGATCTGTATCAGATATATATAAAATGCAGCCCCTTATTCATTAACAAAAGCCAAATGCTTGTTAATCCAGCCGTCAAACCCCATTTCTTTTAAATAAAAAAAAAATAACGCACGACTCACAACTGATGACATTCGAACATTTCTCGAACCATGCTTCGCTGATGTTCTCGCTGCACAGCCCGTCCTCCAAACAAAGATCCAAAAGTGATTCCATGCACCCGCCAAACCCCCTGTTTATGCAACCCGTCCTCGACTCAAGTCCATTACATCCAGCAATCGACCCCACAGACGCATTCATAAATTTTAACATGCTGTTCATTCTAAACGAGAATTTTCTCAAATATAAATTAATATTATAATATATTAGCAAATTATGCATATATAGACATAGGTTAGGTTAGGTGTTTAGGTTCTGTTGGTGATTATTTGTATTTGTAGTACGTGGGTGAAGCATTAACAACGTTGTGGTTCGAACAAAATTCGTCAGTGAAGCACTTGTTCCGGATATGTTCGAACGTCAGCAGTTGTGAGTCGTGTGTAAACCGCTTTTCATTCATAAACAGGGGGTTTGGCGGGTTCATGGAATCACTGTTGGACTTTTGTTTGGAGGACGGGCTGTTAACAGCGTTGTGGTTCGAACAAAATTCGTCAGTGAAGCACTTGTTCCGGAAGTGTTCGAACGAAATAAGTTGTGTAAACCGTTTTTCATTCATAAACAGGGGGTTTGACGGATGCACGGAATCACTTTTGGATCTTTATTTGGAGGACCAAAACCAAACTAAAACCACATGTCAAATAAACAAGAATTTCGACCACTTTTGTGCATAATCCCGGCGAGAATTAACACTTTATCTGAGAATTACTGAGTCGTGTCTGCTCGTGATAGTGTTAAATAAACACGTGGACTTGTATTATCTCCGAAGCATTGTTTTTGTGGTTGGGAGGAGGCGGGTATAAAGGTGCGTGGGAGGTTATATGCAGGTTGTGGTAATGTTGATAGTGCGTGGGAGGTTATATGCAGGTTTGGTAATGTTGATAGTGCGTGGGAGGGAGGGTGTGTAGGTTGTGGTAATGTTGATAGTGCGTGGGAGGTTATATGCAGGTTTGGTAATGTTGATAGTGCGTGGGAGGGAGGGTGTGCAGGTTGCAGTAATGTGATAGTGCGTGGGAGGGTTTTGTATTCAGATAGAGAAAGGGCTGAATGATCCTAATGGTGGTTTGGGAGGGTATTCAGGCAGTGCTAACTGTCGCATTACTTAACCTTGTGAGTGATTTGCTATCAATGATAAAAGAAGCCTTTCCACCCGCCGCTCTCTTAACCTACTAAGATACTATATATGGAACTCTACTGCTGACGTAAAATACCCCCAAGGCTGCAGTCTCTTCAGAGCTCGTTTGTATGCACAACGACGCTCTCACATTTCTAAACTGTCTTAAGTCCACCCTAGCGTAAATATAATTTGATCACTAAGTTCATTAGCACTGATTCCTGGTAATGATTTAAGACATGTTGAGCTGCACTTCACCTAAACCAAATCTAGAGCCGCGATGCAAATTGCAGTCATATGGTCGACCCCGAAATGTAAATCTCTCATAATGACTGACGTTGCTGCCTCGCTAATGTTGCAACACGTTCATGACGCTAGTCATTAGTGACACACACACACACACACACACACACACACACACGCACACGCACACGCACACGCACACGCGCACACACACACACACACACACAATCATTCGTACAGTGTTTCTCAATTTAACTATACAATACCACTACTACTACTAATAATCCACAGAGAGTAAACACACCGCACAGGTTCGAACCTCTCATCACGGCTCCTACAGATTTTCTCACTAATAATAATAATAATAATAATATTATAGGAAAAAATCCCACACTTGTGTATTTGTGAAATTTATGTAAATAATTTACACCAAGTCTTATTAGTGAAAATGTTAAGATGTAAGTCTTATTCTAATCACACACTCAGACCTAGACAAAGCACTTAGGAGAGTGCAAAAGACTTGGTGTGAATTCTTTACATAAATTTTACAATACACATGTCTGGGTTTTTATTCTATTGTATTACGTCAGTGAGAAGACATTACCATTAATAATAATAGTAGTAGTAGTAGGCATAATACAAATAATAATAATAATATTATTATTATTATATTTACTAATAATATTACAAAGAGTATGAAAGTACAATTTTGTTTATATAATTT